GAAAATTTGAAATGTCCAGAATAATTCTTAATACCCCCCTTAAAGTCATGCAAAAGGGCATGCGATCCCCCAGAAGCAAGGCTTGTAGCTTCTTCCAACAATTGTGCATCCCCCCCCCCCCCATTTTTCTGATAAAAATTTGCTCATCCCCCCTTTTTCCTAACAAAATTTTCCAGACCCTCCCTCAATTTCACCTGCCCCCCTCCCCCCTCTGCCAAACATTATAAACGCAGCCCTACTAATTTGTGCAAATTTGTGCAATTTCTTCTAACGTTTTTCATGGATATATGGTTGAAAACTACTACTTCTGATATAATGTATATTTTTTAAATAGACAAAAAGGAAAAATAATTGATATTGAATGCAAATTATTATTTTTAGTATTACAATAAGTGTTTCTATTCCACTTTTAACTTCTATGAATTTCTTGACCGAAGCTCAAACTTTATGCATTCCAAGACTGTGCAGGTTTCATACCTTTTATGCCTGGCTGCGCTATACCTAATTCTTTAACTAAGATTAGATGGTATATAATTTCCGAGTTTTTGATTGATTTCAGAGAGAATTTGCTTCTCACTATATTTACTCTAGCGAAACTGTATTGTATTTCATGGTATGTCATGAACTTATCCATGTGGGTGCTTTACTCCTCACCTAAAACCAGAGGGCTGCTACACAAGCTATGGAAGCTTGAGACTCCTCCCCTTGCCCTTCCCCACCCCCCTTGCCCTTCCCAATGGGTTTTAATAGCTGTCATTACTGCTTTCTTATATATTAAATTTTACTTTTTGATCTCAGACACCATCAGCTGTACAGAAAATTAAGTCGCTAATGTCTACAAATTCAGATGCAGTAAGTACTGAAAAATCAGTTTTGGTTCGACTTAGCTTGAGCTTTGAGTTACCGAGGGTTTGAGTTATTGGGATTCTACTCTATGCACATAAGCATGACCCAGATGCTAAACCTTTGCATGCATGAAGTTGTTAGAGAGCCTCTGGCTATAACAATATGCTTGTCCATAGGTTGGTCTTAGAGTTGGAGTACGACAAAGAGGGTGCAATGGTTTGTCATATACCTTGGAATTTGCCAAAGAAAAAGGCAAATTTGATGAAATTGTAACACAAGATGGTGAGTGAAACTGACTGCTGGTAATCAATGGTAGAGATTGTATTCCTCATCACAGGAGTCTAGTATGGTGGTAATGGTTCAGGCATGTAGGCTGGGGGCATTCAGGTGGTGTGGACGCACCTCCCTAAACAGAGAGTTTTGGGGTTTTTTTAAGACTGATGTGATAGAGAAATGATGTTTTGCCTGCAACAGTAGTCCATTACTGCTTACATTCATGGTTCGAGTGTCCTTGCTGCAAGAGCCACTGGGTTACTATTTCTCTTATTTCATTCTTTAATCTTTTTTGCAGGTGTCAAAGTGTTGATTGATTCTAAAGCCCAGTTATCATTACTAGGAACAGAAATGGACTTTGTTGAAAACAAACTTTCAAGTGAATTTGTATTTCATAATCCAAACATCAAAGGAACATGTGGATGTGGAGAAAGCTTCAATGTTTGACCTTCAACATAGCAAGATAAAACGATACAATACACCCATTCAGCTTGAGCGTTATGTTTTCCCAGCAGACCTCATATCATTTCCTAGAGTATAATTTCCTTGTTTAATGGTTGTACATGAGAAGACACTTGAATATGGATACAACTCAAAGAATTGTATTCTCAAGAGAATGACATGTGGTCTGTAATGGGAAAACATTCAACCAAAGCTGAAAGGGTCTATTATTGGTTCGTTGTTCGATCTCTTACTTCAAGACAATATCAACATGTGTATTTTATTACCAACAATTGTTTTGGTTGTCTCACAGCTTGAGGTCGTCACTAGAGGTGTTTCCTCACAAAACAACAAATTACCACAAGGATGCAGATGCATCATACTCGGACTTCATTAATAATTAATATTTTGTGTATGAAAATTACATGTATATAGACTTCCTTTGTGAGTTGTTGCTTTTGTCCATCAGATTTTCAAGAAGATCCTATCTTACTTCTTATGAGAATTGAAATGAAATGTCAAAACATTTAGCACTGTTATATATTTATCTGAGAGCCTGCATCTTGCACATTAAGAGGAAGGAATAGACTTTCAGATGGTGTCATTCTCTTAAGAATGATTTTTTGTGTTTGATTTGTACTCATTTTCATGTGTCTTCTCATGCACAACTGTTGAACAGAGAAATAATACCCCAAGTACTAAATCACACCTCTGAAAGCTATTTGAAGATATGCTGTAGGATTATAATAAATACAGTCCTAATACTGAGCTCTACTTTTTGCTGTAGCAAATATTTCAAGACATTACATGCATAGTATTAAGTCTCAGTTAGTACACAATAAATGAGTTGAAAGGCATTGCCCTGTGAAAAAGCACCTTCATTAAAGAAACAAGCTTGTTTTCTCAATCAATATACTTTTTTAATTTGTATGCAAATTGCTCATTTCAGATCACATGACATTTCCTTGAGAATTTTTCTTTTATTCTCGACTTTCACATCCCCATAATGCATTGCATTTTTGGGGGGTAACTGATCAAAAAACTGTCCCAAATTGAAAGGTTTCTTAATAATTGAATTTATACTATACCTGCTTTTATCTGTACAATACTGATTATCAGCTTATTCCAAGTTATTTTTGCGTGTACAGATCATCAAGAGTTTTGGTCTTACAGAAAATGTATTGACTTACGAAAAATTTTTTWAAATTTACCTTAAACGTCTTCAAGCTTCTATCTTTTTCTGTTTTTTTACTTCTTCATTTTATCTTTGGATACCAAACAAGGTATTTTCAACATTGTYTGATCAGCCTTCAGCAAAATAAGTGGGTTTTTACCCTCTGGTTACCCCCAAAGATGCAAAGGATTATGGGGATGTGAAAGTTGAGAATGACGAACATGTTAAAATATTTACACATGAAAGAATCAACTCCCAAGAGTGGCATCACATGGTTTAAAATGTGGAGAAAAGTAGAGCTAAAAAGGTACATTCCATGAAAGTGAGCTTTTTTCTTTGTCACACAGCACTGATGTAAATTAATACTCACTGTATTATAAAATCATAAAAAAATAAAGAATGATAATTTCTAATAAAGGTAAATACTAAAATAAAATGAAAACATATATATTAATTTGAGTAGCAATTACCCATCACTGTCATTAAGGATTTTAAGGGGGGAGGCCTTGGTGAATTTGTACAACACTATATCAAGTCATCACTCCCAGGACTCCAACTACAATTCCTACTAGGACGTGAACTTTACATTTTAAGCATTTGTTTTTAATATCATTTTTATACTTTTCCCCCCACGTAGCCTCACATTCAAGTGCTTCAGGATGAGGTTATACTGGGATATAGAGGATATTACATGGGCGCACGGAGATACGAAAATTTATCTTTGAGTGTTGAAAAGATCTCAGTTCGCAGCGAACATGTGAAAATAACGTTATATTCACATGTAAAAATATCAGTTTTTTGAAAAGGAGAAATATAGGTATTTTATGGATAATAATTATCCATAAAATACCTATATTATTATTATATGATAAAGGTTTTAATTCTCATGGAAATCAGAAATGTAACTCCAAGTGATCAAAGTCCTCTTGCAGCTTTAAGTCACATCTGTCAACACTTTGAATGTAACTGTTATTTTCAAACAGGCAACAATCGCTATTATGAACATACAGATACCAGCACATTAGACAATTTCCAAGATTTGAGAGTGCTGTTAAAAGTATTGCATTCTCAGATGCACAACAAAAGCAAGTCTTCATCACTTTATGAAAAACATTTTTCTCACACTTTTTTAACTTTACTGGATAAATTAGATTTAATTAATTGCAGGTCTGTGGAAATTCAAAAACATTCGTTACTTAAAGACTGCGAACACAACATGATTAACCACATCCCTAACCACCAACAGATATAGCATGCTCGAACTATTGTACTAGCTCCTCGTGGGTTGGAAGGTTCTCCATCCCTTTCCGGAGTGTCGATGCCGAGATGCTTCCTCRGTCCCTCCTTCTGTTCCTCTCGTGTAAAGCTATTCTCACCATACAGAGTAGATTTCCAGTTTTCTCCACAACGGCCAATTTTGCTCCTCAACAACCAAGTACTTTCTATCACTTCTGTTTTGTTTATCCCACATATATGACACTGCCCAACCCAACCAGTCACAGAAGCACCATCATTCCATACCACAAAAAATGCAAAAGTACTGTTCATGTCACCTCTTGTGCCTATTCCAAAAATCATTGAATGGGTACTCCCTGCCGCACCCTTTTCTCTTTCAACTGCTGTGCGGTACTCACCTACAATAACACCATTAAAATCTTGTTTAATAATCATTTCTGAGCCGACACTATTATACCAGGTACCAACAATATCACATGGTTGCCTTGGCTTGAAAATAATAGCATGAGAATTTGTATCAATGGCAGGTAGAGAAGGAGGATTTTTGTTTGGTTTGCGAGGGCCACTAAGCTGCTCATAACGTGTGAAGGTGTCACGACCTATTCTTGTAGATTTCCACTTGTCGATGCAGATGTCTACTTGAGATCGCAGCAGCCAGGATGTCAAAAACTTTTCATGCCCATCTTCACATACAACACATTGAGCAGTCCATGATGTTGTTGACGACCCATTGTTCCAAACAACAGCAAAAGCAAAGGTTGTGCCAGGCTTGTTGTATGGGGCAGCACCTAGTTACCAAGGAAACAACAGGTTTAATTGGTGTTGCAGAATGTATTGTATTCTGGGTTAGGGGTCAGTGTATTGCAGGGTATTGTTTAGCTCCAAACTCATTGTTCTCGTCTATTGTTTTATTGTCTTCATGGCTCAGGTGCCCTGCAACACCAAGAAAAAGTTGAAACAACCAAATGCAAAAATCTTCAGTATTGCAGTGTTACTTTAATAGCCATTCCTGAATTGACTTAAATGGACAAAAACAATGCAGTGGATTGAAGTTGGAGTTGTCACAGTAGTAATTGTTTTCGTGCATTTACAATATTCAATATTCAAAAAAACGAAGCACAGTAAACAGAGGGTGGGAGGTCATTTGCAGTATCGGCCATTCAAGTTTGGAACACTCTTCCCGTTGATATTAAGTCTAAACCTAGTGTTAATAGTTTTAAGTCAGCCCTTCAGGATTACTATTTTAAGGAACAGAAATATATAAATCATTTTAGCCCTTATTGAATTATATTATTTGTAATATATTTACGCCTGATTGCCGGGTTTTTTTTGTTTTTTKTTTCGTATATTTATTTACAGTTTTATAGTTTATGTTTCATAGTTTTGTAATTTTATAGTTTTATAGTTTTATAGATTTATAGTTTTTTATATTGTAATGTAGTTTAATATTTAAGGTGAGGGCCACAAGTTTATAAGTGTCATCACTTTTTAGTGTTTACCCTCTTTAAATAAAGTCTATCTATCTATCTATCTATCTATCTATCTATCTATCTAGTAAAACAAGAGAAAAACTATTAGACTGTACTAGACTAATTATTAGTCTACTACAGTCTAATATAGTTTTTCTCTTGTTTTACTGTACTTCGTCTCCTTGAATATCACTGCCTTATCATTTCATCTTTATTTCTAAGGCCAAATAAAATCACTCAATCACACTAAAATCTCCTCACGTGGTATGTATGAAAACCAGCGAATTAAACACTTGCTACACGTGGGCTTAAATTATAGAAAACGTTTAAAATATTTAAATCAAATGCGAAATCTTAGTCAGGAAATTAGCTACGTCGAAATTTCGTAATTCATTTTGAAATCTATTTTTGAAACCTGTTTTTAACGTTAAATAGAGGTTAGTTTGTGTGCTTACCTAAGAGAATTGAGTGTGTTTTACTACCAGCCGATCCTTCAGACCTTTCAACTGCTGTCCGATACTCCCCGATCAATTTTCCATCGTTTGAATGCTTCAAAAAGATTTCTGACCCAAGTTGGTTGTACCAGAAGCCGTCTAGATTGTTACATTTATCTGTTAATGCTGTAGAAAGGATCGCTAGGATAATAAAAATGGAAAACATTCTTTTTGCTACAGAAACAGCACAGCACGTGTCACCTTCAGCAGAGTTCGCGCAATATGCAAATGAGGTATATGTAACGCTGGATTTGTCATGCGTAATGAAATACACAGGGAGCCCAGCTAGCATTGTTTATGGTTAACCTTGAAAGGGAAAGTCGGTACCTGAAAATAGCCTGTGCGCACACGCTTCTCACCCCTCCCCTCTTCTGGGAAAAAACGGGGAGGGAGGGGGAGTGGGGAGGAGAGAGGGAGGGGAGGGGGGATTCACCCCTCCTTCTCTCCTCCCCACTCCCCCATTTACGTTTTTAGTGAAAACATTCTGTTCTCAGTTCTGAATACAATTAGTTTGTCCTTATAAATACTACTTGCTTGGTCAATACTCTATATTTATGTGTCTTTTATTTTGACCGACTAAGGCTCAGGTCAAACGTCGAACTTCACATGAGCCGAACC